TACGGATTTGATATGTCTGTATAATAATTCACGTTTTTAAGTATTTCCGCTATGCATATTAAGACTTGAACTTGCATTTTAATGAATTTCAGATTTCAAGTTTTTATCATTTCAAACGTATGAATATGATATAGTTAAATGCAAGTTTAAATAAATCTGTTTTCTTTATGTCTAAAGAAGTATTAGACAAAGTTTAAAGATAAACGGATTTTCAGAAAAGATGTGTTTGAGTAGCATCCTGAGTTAGTCGCAAAAGATTTCGAAAGAGTTGTAAGTATTTTCGAAGTAAAAGTTGCGAAAAATTTACTCTGATGAGCGGGGTGTTACACCTTTTCTGCTGTATAGTAGTAAATGTTGAATTGCTCGAGATACTGAGGTTCGACTCCTCAAGCTACATAAAATTTTATAAAAATATACCTAGCATTATGCTCGAAAGACTTAATAAATATTGAGATGTTATTATATGCTAGAGTGACTATGACTAGATTCTAATCTCATTTTAAATCTGGATTTTTAAAGAAATACTCTAAGATTTTTTTTAAGTATTTTAAGTCCGAAAATATAACAACTGGTTTGAACTGGACTGACTTGGTTCATAAAAATACTAAAAATTCCGGTATAAACTCGAATCAGAAATATTGAACCGGATATCTCGAACCGACCGCTTAACTGGACCGGTTTGCTGGCTTGGACCGACGGCTCGTCATGAACCGGTAGGTCGCAGGTGACACGAGTGCCTCAGCTCAGTCACTAATGACCTGAGTGCCTCGACTCGGTCGTGCAGAGTGCGACTGATTGATAGCACAGGCACAAAGTCACGAACACTAGCCACACGACTCTCAGTTTTAGGATCGACACTTCTAGTACGCACGTTGCCGCTACCGGTGCTTCGGGGCACAGTCGGGCGCCATCGGTTGCTGCTCGACACGCTGACATGAGGTTGAAACGGTTGAATGTTACTGGGCGTTGCGGGCACTACCGGGCCACTGGCAGGGGCGTCGACACAGAGATAGGCCGTGTCCTTCGCGCACACAAAACACTGGCACTGGCTGGCACGATCTATCCTCGGCCCAGAGGTACCCCAGCTGAAGTTAACCTCTGTAGACACGAACTGTTGGGCGTTGCGCATGCGGGATGCATGGCAGCGATCACAGTCGGCTCCTCGTTGGCCGTCCGACTACATTTCCAATGACCCTTGACTTACCTCATTTATTTAAGACATAAGGAGTCTAAAAATGTATGAAAACACTAGGATGATTCGACTAAATTTTGAAATGGTTCGGAAGAAAAAGACGGTCAACATGGGGTTCTAAGTCACCAAATCACTTAAATCTTCTTATGAAGAGACTTAAGGCCGAATACTTCACATAATTTATCATGTTTTTAGGTACAAAGAGCTTGACAAAACTCGCATCAAACTCCACTTGGCTCGGTTATAAAAAATATGGCCTAAAAATCGATTTCTACTGGACCGAGTAAATGACTTCCAATTAAGCTCAAACTTTACCAACTTATTTGACATGATTAATAATGATTTTAGGAGTACCAAACTTGGCTATGGCACGCATGGAAACATGACTTCCTAATTTAGGGCTTAATTACTCTAAAAATAAAAAACCTTCATATTTCTAGTGCATTTTCCGTTTTCTATACATGGTACTCCTTAGAATATCATGCTTAAGCTAGGAAAGGAATTGGAAAGGTGCTTACCTTTAGTAATTTCAAATATGAACGAAGAAGGGAGCTCTCGAACTCTTCTCGGGTCTCTTTCGACAAAGGTGAGGTTACGGTAAGTTTACTTCTGTGATCACTGATTTGAGGCTTTTCTTAAGTAGTCCTTAGTTCATAGGTTCAGCTTTGTTCGATGAAATTTGAAGAGAATGGTCGATTACTCACTATAGACGTGTTGTTCGAGATTAGGGCTCGGAGAAGGATCTTCGGAGTTATAGTCGGAATTTGTTGAGCTTTTGATGAATTTTTCTAAATTTTGGGACGTCCTCTACCCATTTCTCATAACAGAGTATAAAGAAATGAAGGAGGCCTCGCCACTTGAGTTAAAATAAAGAAGTTTTGGACTTTTCTTCCTCACCCATCCTTTTCTCTTGGTTGTAGTGCCATGGAGTGATAGGAAACCGAAATATCTACCTTATCCCTGATGATAGATCGGTCAAAAATCCATTTTGACCGAAAAATAGGCTAAATACTCGTTGGGCCTCAGTTGGGCCCTGGTTGGGTGCTGGGTCGTGCTCTGGACTGCACTGACAGGCCCAGCGCTGGACTGCGATGTTGGTCGCGCGTGCGGTGTGGCTGCACTATGGACCGCGTGTTGAGGTAGGGTGAAACAATTGTTGGGCCGTTGGTTGAGGCCTGCTAACAAACTTAAGTTATTGGACCCAAGTTTCATAATGTGTTGAGAAGAGTGCGGTGCGACGCGACATGAGCTGCTCGCGGTTGCTGGGCCGCGTTAGTGGCTAGCGCGCTTGGGCTTCTCACGGCTGTTGGGCCGCGTGGGACTTCTCGGCCACTCGTGCAGGATTTTGTTTGCTAAATCGTTTTAGGCTAAGTGGGGTTGTTATTGTACTAGGACCGTCCATGAATGTTAGGTCGTGTGAGATTTTTCTTCGGGCCGTGCTGGTTGTGCTAGTGCACTTGGGCTGCGCATCGGTGCTTGGCCTTGCCTTGAGCCTAGTTCAACTCAGCTCAGGTCGAAACTCGATTTTCTTTAATTGCTCGAATACACTTGGACTCGTTCCTCATCGCGACTCCTATTATCCATTCCCGGCTTATAAAAGAAATGAACAGAGACTTGAACTAAAAATATATTCGGCTTTTAGATAAAATCTCATCCGACTATTTCCAAGTTTAAACTCGAACTGGGAGTTTATAATTTGAATACATTATGCTCGGAAGCTGAAATGAGCTTTTATTAATAAGGATTAGCTCACTCTCGGTAGCGAAACACTGTTTTACTTATTAATAAGATATTGGGGTATTACAGCCCGAGTGCCCGAGCTACCCGTTCGTACTAGCCCGGTGCTCAAACTGCCCAATACTGTTAGTCGATGTGTTCCTATCCACTTGTCCATCTAATCTTAATTATATTCCTTCTTATCAATTATATGGTGTGTTCACATTAGCCTACCTCATTAGGTGGTATAATAATGTTATCAACTTGGATTTCCGTGAACAAGATTGCTCCAACCTTTAATAGATAGGCTTATCTCTTATGCCGTACATCGACCTGCAGGCTTTCAAACCGAGTTTCTATCATGATAGTCGAGAGCCCTAGCTCGACTTGTTGTCGAGCTATCTTACCTGTGAGGTCACCATCAACGTGGTGATTCTACGACCTTTGATGTTCCTGTTGTCTGACCGACCTACCGGTAACCCGATCTGGTTAGACGTGACCTGGTATGGTATCCTATATCATCTGGTCCCCAACTCTGGTGGATTAGAGATAACTCGATCCAAGAGTAGAGCCAATTATCCTCACTTATATTTATCAATTTCCCGATCTTTTGGACCCACTTGTCAGCTCAACCTTCCATTTCATTCTATACAAAACAACCAGTTCGACCTAAGTACCAGGTCATCAATTCAAATTCCTAATAGATTCTCAGGTTAGTCTAACGTCCTTTCAAATCAGTGTAATGTCATCTCCAACATAATCACCTAGAATCTCATCCTACCCTACTACAACGCCAATTAATGGTGTTTCATTCATGTCCACTGATTTTACTTTTATCCAACAGTCTTGATCGACATGTCCTATCAACTTTCCCTTTTAATCTCGCCCATCCATTTTGACCTTGATCGAACGGTCCTATGGGTTGCCTCTTGGCTTTCTCAACTTCCAATCTCGGCTGTCCATATCGACCTATATTAGACGACTGAGCTCGATTTTCCTCCTCCACTTTTTCCATCTTTTCCTATAAGTAGGCCTTCCTTCAGTTTTCTCTTTTCCACCTCTGTTGTATCTCTCCTTATATTTTCTTTTCAAGAATCTCAGTCTTCATTGTTGCTACTCCGTTGTCGCCCATTAATCATGTCAATAAGTAAGTCCTTTTCTTTATTATCAATAATATTCTATTTAATTTCTGTTTCAATTTACATTGTCTAATTACATGTGCCTCAGCTCATTTTCTTGAGATTCACCTCCCTCAAATATTTTTTCTTCTTTTCTTCTTGTTTAGATTCTAGCACAACCAACGACTTTGATGATGCCACTATTGATGGTCACATGAATTTTCCTTCTTCTTCTCTGAGAAATCATGTAAAAAATAAAAATAAAAGCAAGCACAAAATAATAAAACGCAGCTAACATAAAAGAAAATGCGAGAAATTATATAAACCGAAAGGGGCACTACAAGTTTCACATCTACCTAATCCTTAATTCCTAATCCATGCACAATACCAAATCCCTAATCTCTACACATCGTAAAGTCTAAAAAGTGACATCATCGCCAAGCTCCATGCCGCGTGCTATGGTCCATGGCTGCACGCAAAAGGGTTCCACGGTCGAGTGCGATGGTTCCACAAAAGCTCCTGGCTATTGTCTGATGCGCGGGATGCGAGCGACTGGTTTGAAAGGTTCGGATGACGTCAGACTGCATCTCGTCGGTCGCACGCTGCACGGAGTAGGAGAAAAAAGGCTGATGTTGTGCGACATCGTCGTACTTGTCTGAAGGTACGTGGGTGGTTGCGTGTTGCTCGCAAATCGCCGAATAAAACGTGAGCGGGCTGAACGTGAAAGGACACAGTATATGCGCAAGGAAGAAGATGAACAATCAGATCTGAGATTTTTTCGCAGATTAGCTGTCGAGGGCTATGTTTATAACATGTATATATTCTGTGTATATATAAGTATTTTATGGTATTTTGTATATATTCTCGCAATACAGACTATACAGGGGAGATATACAGACTACATACAAAAGATATACAGACTATATACGAATGTCCATCATTTGTTTTTAATTTGTTCATCACTATCAACAAACTCATCGTCGATCAGCATCTCGTTCCATGTCAATCTTTTCATCTTCTGCAAAATTGGGATCTTGTTCGGGGTTTGCTTTTGCAAAAGTGAGACTTTTTATTCCGTCGTAGTCGCTTATTCTGCGATTGTTGTTCCTTGTTGGGCCGTATCGTTTCACGAGCAAGGACCTTATGTGCTTCTCCGGCGACGGTGGCGTGAAAGGGCGCTTCAGAAAGAGCAGAGGGATCGAGAGGACGCCGTTCGAGTTCGCGGGCGAGTTCTTCAACGCGCTTGGAAGTGTGCTAGGGCTGTAAAAAGGGAATTCTGGTATATCTACAAATAAAAATATTATTTTAGGTCGGATTGCTAATATTTACAATAGATGTTTAATTGAGTAAAAAAATTTAATGTATGGTGTATGGGGTAATTTTCTCAATAAATTATATCAAAATAAGGTTATGATATAGAATAGCATAGGATAATTTTTTTTTCTTTTAATGAAACGATAGGAGAACTCACTAACAAAATAAGAGATACAAAGTCCAAATACAGAACGAGAAAAACCCAAATAGTCGAGGGTATAAACCAGAGAGAACTACATAACTAAACATGTAGCCTAGAAATCCAAACAAATGAACAAACAAAACCAAAGGGAGTACATACACTGAAACCTTATGTTTTAATACAACTACAATTCACACTCTAACAGTCCACAAAATAGGAAAGAAACAATACAAAACTCCTCAACCACTGAACTGCTCCAAGGAACAAACCTAGCTCAGGATCTGTGTTTGCCTTTTCTAGAAGCCCCTCCCAACTGATCAGCGTCCAACCATTCTCCTACTGCTGCCTTAAATGTACCAATCTCTGACCTCCAAACCTCGTCAAATAACCATAGGTTTCTTGATTTTTAAAGCCACACAGTATATAAGTGGTAAGTTAAATCCTAACTTCAGAAACCTTATACCAATCTACACTGAAAATCATTCCCCACCACTAATCAAACCTGCCACTATCATGTTTCTAACCATCCTAGCAGACAGGGCATGTTTCCACGCTCTTCTGGCTCTTTCAAATTTCAAAAAACATGCTCAATTGTTTTCTCTTCCAGCCCACAACCATGACACATAACATCAATAACAATTCTTTTCCTCCACACATTCACAATTACAAGCAAAGTACCAGAAAAATATTTCCACATAAAGTGTTTGATTTTACCTATTACCTGTAGCCTCCAGCTTCTCAATCTCATTTTCTTGTTTATGTTCGCTGTTGAGCTTCCTTCAGCCACATCCAGCTCCCGTAATTTCTTCATGCTTAAGAAAGTATAAGATGGTGCCACCCTGAACTTTCCTGTCCTGTTAATTCTCCATCTCCACTAGTCTTCAAGTGAAGGGTTTAGAGTTTGAATCTGGAGTATAGTTTCACTATCCTCTGCTTCAAATAACTCTATCACTTTCTGCACATTCCACCCACTGTTGTCCACTTCTATCAGTTCCTTGGCCTATAAGTCTTGACCCTGAAATACTGTTTAAGCTTAGGCCCTCTGTTCTCAATCTCTGGAACCCAGTTGTAATCTTGTACCCTCAAAGTCGTACCACTCCTGACCTCCACCTGAAGTCCTTTTTGCAAGAGCCATCTTACCTTCTACCAAGATCTCCAAAGCCAAGAAGAATTTTGTTTTAGTTCAACGTCAAATAAATAAGGATTTGGAAAGTACCTGCTCTTTATTTTTCTACTCATCAACATATGAGGATTAGTTACCACCCTCCACAGCTGTTTGACTAGCAATGCATCATTAAACAGGTTGACATCTTTAAAGCCCAATACTCCTTGATTTTTTTGTTGTGCTCAACGATGTCCATCTTCTTCAGTGTATGCCCAGAGACTGATCTGATCCTCTACTCCACCAAAATTGGGCAAAGATCCTAGCAACCTATTCGCATATATACCTTCAGGCAGTCTGAAACAACTCATAACAAATATTAGTAAAGCATTCAACACTGAATTGATTAGAACCTCCTTACCAGCAGTTGACAGAAACTTGTTCTTCCAGCTTACTATTCTACTCCTTACTGCCTCCACCACAACGCCAAATACTTCTTTCTTGGATTGCCCTATCCCCATTGGAAGTCCCAGATTACTTGTGGATCTTTGGGGTTGAATTCCTTCAAGAATTTGACAAATTTCTCTCTGATTGGCTTCTGGTGTATTTTTTCTGACAAACACTGATGATTTTGCCAAATTTAATTTCTGAACTAAAAATTCTTGATATTTGGATAACATAGACACCAACCCAAAAGCCTAATAGACATATGCCTTGCAATATACAATTGAATCGTCAATAAATAGAAGATGAGTTAATACTGGAACACCTCTTGCCACTGACAGACCTCTAAAACTTCTCTTTTGTTCTTTAGTAGAAATAAAGGATGACAGCAGTTCAGAAATCAGAACAAACAGATAGGGAGACAGTGGGTCTCCCTGTCTCAAAATCCTTGATGCTACAATACTCCCACATACATTCCCATTTAATATAAAAGAGGAGGACACAGAAGTAACACATTCCATAATCCACTGAAAAAATTTCAAAGCAAAGCCCATTTTAAGCATTGTCGTCCTTAAGCATCTCCATTTTATTCTGTCATAAGCCTTCACCATATCTAGCTTAACTGCCATAAAACTGTGTTTTCTTGGTCTATGCCTGTTTAAGAAATGAATTCCTTCCTGAGCAATTACTACATTGTCACTTAACAATCTACCAGACAAGAAAGCTGCTTAAGTCCCACTCACACATTCACTAATGCAGTTCCTTAGTCTCAGTGCTAAATTTTTTTATATTATCTTATAAACCACAACACATAAACATACTGGTCTGAAATGATTGAGAGAAGTAGGATTGAAACATTTTGGTATAAGTTTTATCAGAGTATGATTCCAATAAGGCAATAATCTGCCAGACAAAAAGAAACTTCCAACCGCTACACAAAGATCATTTTTAACTATGGGCCAGAAATGCTGGAAAAAAATAGCTGACATATCATTAGGTCATGGTGCCTTTCTAGGATTCATTGAGAAGAGATCAAACTTGATATCTTCTTCCTCTACTGTTGCTAACAAATCTGCATTCCATGGAATCTGATATTGAAGCTGGAATGTTTTGGAGCCGTTCTTATCCTCCCCTTGAACCTTCAAATGTGAAGAGATCTTCATAAAACTCAGCTACATGATGTTCAATTGTCTCATTGGTCTCAAAAACCTCATTCTGCCCATTCACCAATCTGAGTATAGCATTTTGTTTCCTCCTCTGCATCACATAAGCATGAAAGAACTGTGTATTTTGATCACCCTCCCTAATCTACTATTTTCTTGCCTTCTGTTGCCAGTAGATTTCTTCAGACTTACTAGCCTTATCTATCTCTCTTTTCATTTTGTCCCATACTTCTCAATTCTTGTTGCCACCTTCCTTCCTCATCTCCTCCAATCTCAATGAAACTCTTTTAATGTTTCCCGGGCTTTCTGATCTGAAGTGCTGACTCCATAGCAATAGAGCCACCATGGTCTTCTTCAATTTTTCTTTCACAATGTACATAGGTATCCCTTCTTGACTCCCTTCCCAAGCCTAGTTAACAACTTCCTGAATTCCTTATTGCAGCAGCCATCTCCTATCAAATTGGAATCTCCTCTTCACCCTTTGGCTTATGGGATCAGCTTCAATAATAATTTGACAATAATCGGATGAACTCTTGAAGACTGAAGTTGCTTGAGTTTGAGGGTATGACTGAAGCCACCCTAAAGATACAAAATCTTTATCTAACACCTCCTATACAAATCCTTCTCCCTCTCTATGATTACCCCATGTGTAGGGGTAACTGCTGAAGCCATTTTCGGGTACTGCTGAAGCCACCCTAAAGATACAAAAGCTTTATCCAACACCTCATCTACAAAACCTTCTCTCTCTCTCTATTATTACCCCATGTGTAGGGGTAACCTTTTCTTATAACTTCCTCCACATGCATATTTGCAATAAAATTTGAAACCCCTGCAAACTGGTTTGAGTTCTAACTCTTCCACCCTTTTTGTTTTATGCTCTAGCCACATGATTCTAGTCCCCTGCTATACACTACTAATTGCCCCAAGAATTCTTCCTACCTTCTAGTTCCCTCCATTGACTTTCCCTGATTCTTCCGCCAGTACTTAATAGACAAAGGATACCCAACTCAGAGAAACATTAGGAGTTATCTTAAACTCAACTTTCAAGCAATAGGAATGGCAGATAAACTGGGTAACCTCCACTTCCCTACTCCACAAAAAATAGCCCCCACTCAGACCCACAGGATCCACTATTTTACACCTATCTATAAACCCTAGCTTTTTGCAAAAACAATACTTTAATATAAATTATTATACATTAATTAATCTTTCTCTGTATTTAAATTGATGATTGAATTTATTATTTCATAACTATTTGATTTTGAAAATCCTCACACACATTTCTTTTGTAGACTATAAATTATTTATGTTTTTCAATTAAAAAGAAAATTAATACTATTTTCATTTTCTTTTCTATTGCCGACTGTTTGTTTTCTTTTATTCCATGGTATTACTTTACATAAAATCTTAGTTGGGATATTCTAGGATCAGGTACCCTTTGTACATATTTGATAATATCTATTTCATTATCTTACTATCTAATCAAAATATCAACCTTAACCTACAATTAATATACGAGGCAGAAAAGTATTGTGACTGCCTCGTATATTCTTTCATACATATTGTAAATGCAAAATATCTATTATGACCTTACTTTAATTTAAATTATAATGTATTTTAATTCATAAAAAAAATTGTATTTAATTTCAAACTCATGGTTACAAAAATAAAAGTAATTAAAAAATATGATCTATTAAATTAAAAGTGTTACTGTAAGAAAAAATTAGTTTTGTACCGATTTAACGATTCTACTTTCGTAAGTAGAAGACTTAGGAAATTCTCAAAACCTTTTTAAGGTGAATGAGAAATTAATTCTAAGTGTTATATGTTAACTAATTGAGTTCAAATAACTCAAAGGTTGTAGGGTTCACAAACATTGTGTTTTGACAAATGTTTGGACGAACTAAACGAGCCATAATTATGCATTATGTATACTAGAATTGTAGAAGGGATCGTCGGAGACGAGTTGGAAAAAATGGAACTTGATTCTGAGTCCGTATGAGCTCGTACGAGCCCGCGTCGCACGGACGCGCAACTAGCTGCGAAAATCAAAGGGTCACAACCCTTGGTGACCATAAGGTATCTTTTGGCCAATAGATGCATCCGTTCTCGTTCGGGCACGTCCCAAAAGTTGTCTTTGACACTTAAACCACTTGGAGGTGTTTCCCTACATCTATAAATACCCACATACTTGAAATCATTAAAAAAACATGAAAATTAGAGAGCTCTTGCATTACTTTTCAAAGATTATATAGCATATTGCGTTCTTTGATTTTTTTCATTGAGTCTTGAGAGTTCCAAACAATAGTAGTGTTCGCCGAAGGCATGTATATTTGAAGTACCACTATATACAAGTCGAAAGTAGTTGTATCTTGGAGGCGTTTGTTGTTAACCGTGGGTATTTTACGGGGCAATTTCGTCTTGAGGAGAACGTAACTATTATGTGCCTCGACTTTCATTTTTATTTCGTTTTCTTCATTCTCCTTAAGCCGTCTTTTTGATATTCACAAACCACAAATGTCCAACAATCTTAAGACGAATATTTGTGAGTTCATAAGATGGCAAGCGGAGGAAACCAAACGTCTTCTTCAAGTGCTCAATCGATGGTAGCTGCTCCCGTCAAAAGACGAGAGACCGCCGAAGTTCAATGGCTCTGTTTTCAAGAGGTGGCAGCAAAGGATGTTTTACTACCTCACAACTCTCTCCCTCTCTTGTTTACTTTTGGAGGACTTTTTGATCGTCCCCAAAAGTGAGACTAACGTCCAACAACGTATGGTTTCGGATGTTTAGCATCATAGTGAATTCTTGTGTAGAAATCTAATACTTAACGGACTAGAAAACACACTATATAATGTGTATAGCCCGGTTAAGATGTCTAAGGAGTTGTGGAACTCTTTAGAAGCAACGTACAAAATGGAAGATAACGGCACTAAAACTTTTATCGGTAAATTCCTTTTGTACGATATGATTGACTCAAAGTTGGTGGTTAATCAAGTTCAAGAGATTCAAATCCTTCATGATATGATGGCCGAGGAATTGATTGTGAACAAAGCCTTTTAAGTGGAGGTTATTGTTGAAAAGTTGTCTCCTTTGTGGAACGACTTCAAGAGTTATCTCATGCATAAACGCAAAGAGATGAAACTAGAGGATTTGATAATTCGTCTTCGGATAGAAGAAAATAATCAAAATCCGAAGTATTGGCCAAATGGAGCAAAATAAAGGCTAGGCAAACTTGGTCGAGCCGACCTCGAGTAAGAAGCGTAAAAATGCTTTTAATGGCAAACCAAGATGGGAAGCCAAGATGTCCAAGGGATGTTACGATAGTAACAAACCCCGGTACTTTGTCGAAGGTTACTAACTTTTAAATAGGGGTAAAGGGTAGTGCGAATTGTCAAGGACAAGATAATACTTGTCAGAGCTCGATCTTTCCGTCGTGATTCAAGTACATACTTAATTAAAATTCCACGTTTATAGCGGATAAGAACAAGAGCCACTTGACCCGTAGGCGCTTATAAATGTTGTCCTACAACCCTACTATGGAAGGAAGTATTTGTGGAATTCCTCGACTTCAAGTGTTGAAGGAAACGACAAGGTAGTGTGCTAAGAATTACTATTGGAGATCATGGATGTTCTCATGCCCAAGACATCCATAATAATCTAGATTTCAGACCATTAAATGAGTAAGGCCGAACTTAGATTAGTTTATGATTATCGACAAATATGATGTATTCTTAGCATAAGTAGCCTTAATAAAGGTCATCTTACAATTATTGTAAAAATTGTAAACTACTATTTGACGAAAAGTTAAATAAGTTGATCTTATTTATTGAGTGTTGTAATTTATGGCATGATAAATTGGATTTGTTATTTTTAACACTAGAAGTTGGTGAATCTAGAATTGATTCATACAACAAGTATGAAAATTGTGTTAAAATGAAATAGTGACAAAAGCATCGTATGAAATGGTTGCTTTAATTGACTAAGTCCTCTCGAGATAAGTCACAACGGTAAATGTGATTTAAGAATTTGTGCAAACTCGAGTTGAAAATATATTGTAAGAATGCACAATGTATTGTCATAAAGCTTTTGTAGCTTTAAGCCACATATGAATGATGATGATATTCAATGAAATAGTCGAAAGAAATATTCACTCTTTAGTAGGTGATAATTTTTGTTGGTAAGCTTGAATTTAAGCTAAATGCTTATGTGAGAATTAGTTATTTCGACAAAATTGCAAACACCACACGAAGGTAGATACGAAACTCCTTTTGAGTTATAAAAAGAGCAAAAGCATTCGTACCTATACCTTGAAATATGGGGGTTTGTTTGGGCATGGAAAGCACCACACATAGGTAGATACGAAACTCCGTTTGAGTTATAAAAAGAGCAAAATCATTCGTACCTATACCTTGAAATGTGGGGGTGTTCGGTCCAAGGTAGAAATACCTAAATAATAGAATGAAAAAATTGTTGAAATTATTTTGTCGAATAGTTTCAAATTCATTGAATAACAAAATGAGTCTATGAAGGTTCTTCCGACTCTTTGTGATCGTAAATCTTATGTAGACAATATGATGATCTTGGAATATAGTCATGATGTGTTCATGAATACCAAGAAGATAAAATTTGACTTTTAAAGTATGTGAAATTCCGATATAATTTTGGAGATTAAGTTTCTAATACATCGGAAGTAATTGTTTGACACAATCTCACCATGTCAAATGTATGTTGAAGAGGATCGATGTGTTCGATAAAACCTCAAGCTAAAGTGATTGTATAATAGACTCTACACTTAGCTAATAATTCGAGAGTAATTAGTTTCTCGGGAAAAAGTATGTTGAATAATTGGAGGCTTGAGGTACTTGTCGGATAGTACTCGCCCCAATGTTGCATTTTCACGAGCAAACTAAGATGTTCACGAGTAACTCGAGCGATGAATTTTGATCATACTAAATAGAGTATTAGACATGAAAAACTCTAAGATAAAAAGTGACTACAGGTTCACTTTAGATGGGTAGAGTTGTGTCATGAAAATTATCTAAGTATAAAGCTAGATCCACAATAATGTCCGAATTTATAAATTTAGACTAAAGGCGTGGAAGAAGCTAATGACTTAGAAATTTTCTAAAAGATATTCCTAGGTGGAATAAATTGTGCTCATGGAGATGATTATTTATCAATCAACAATTTGAAGAGCACAAAGTAGTTTGTACAATAGTAAGTCTAGGCATAAACATCAGAGACTTAATTTCATTAAGAAAATTATCTCGTGTGAGGGTTATATCGGTTGACTATGTGAAGTCAAAGATAAACCTAACAGATCCGTTTACATAATGCAAGAACGAGATAAATTGTACAAACTGGTTAGGGGAATGAGCTTAATAAAAATCCACAACAAACGAATGGTCTTAGCGGTAACCCAACCATGAGAATCCGAGATCCTGAAACCTTGGTTCAATGGGAAAACTAAGTTTTGACAGTTCAGTGAAACACTTGAAAATTTTTGCTCATTTCTAGAACCGTCAAGTGTTAAAATCTACCTAAGTGGTGAGGCTAAGTCAAAGACTTTTAATAATTTCTATACTTACGGGTGGGGTAAGGCAGGATACTCTTTATAGGAGAATCACCTTTGTAAGTGAGAAGTAAATAGGCCGCTTCAACGAACACTTACTAAACAGAGATATGGTCCAAGGCCGAAATGGACACAACGTGAGAACAAGAAATTGTTAGAGTTGTTGTTGTGTGAGTACTATTGTCTTGGTGCACACAAACAGCCGATAAGTTCAAAGCATCGTGCTACTAACCGGCTAGTGTATCCGATAGTATTTCACTAAGGAAGATTCAAAGCCACAAGTTATCTATCCTGATGCAATGACGGTTCGCCGGAACTCTCAAGTATTGCATACATGCATTAATTTCATTCATGTGGGGGATTGTAAGAACAAATTAGTTTTGTACCGATTTAACGATTCTACTTTTTGTAAGTAGAAGATTTAGGAAATTCTCAAAACCTTTTTAAGGTGAATGAGAAATTAATTCTAAGTGTTATATGTTAATTAATTGAGTTGAAATAACTCAAAGGTTGTAGGGTTCACAAACATTGTGTTTTGACAAATATTTGGATAAACTAAACGAGCCATAATTATGCATTATGTATTCTAGAATTGTAGAAGGACTCGTTGAGGACAAGTATGAAAAAACGGAACTTGATTCTGAGTCCGTATGAGCTCGTACGAGCCCGCGTCGCACGGGCGCGCAACTAGCTGCGGAAATCAAAGGGTCGCAACCATTGGTGACCATAAGGTATCTTTTGGCCACTAGATGCATCCGTTCTCGTTCGGGCACGTCCTAAAAGGTGTCTTTTGACACTTAAACCTCTTGGAGGTGTTTCCCTACATCTATAAATACCCACATACTTGAAATCATTAAAAAACTTGAAAATTAGAGAGCTCTTGCATTACTTTCAATGATCATATAGCATATTGCGTTCTTTGATTTATTCATTGAGTCTTGAGAGTTCCAAACAATAGTAGTGTTCGCCGAAGGCATGTATATTTGAAGTACCACTATATACAAGTCGAAAGTCGTTGTATCTTGAAGGCGTTTGCTGTTAACCGTGAGTATTTTACGGGGCAATTTCGTCTTAAGGAGAACGTAACTATTACGTGCCTCGACTTTGATTTTTGTTTCGTTTTCTTCATTCTCCTTAAGCCGTCTTTTTTATATTCACAAACCACAAATGTCCAACAGTTACTTGGGTTGGAGATTTGACAATCTCACCGCCACCTATCTCCTCTGGCCACTACTGTTAGCTATCGTTCGTCGCCGCTTTACCAGTGGTGGATTACAACAAATTATATATCATTTTGAAGTTTTTAACTCGATCTTTCCAACGACATGTTAATTTCTTCATATAGTACCTCAACCTTTGTTAAATTATTATTAAGATTTCAAGAAAAATCAAAGAATTGCGCACTCAATTTTTGTCGGAATGTCTCTGAGATCCGGTAGTTGGATTTTCATGAAACATATATAGAAAGCTCTGAGTCCAACGACATCTCCTGATAGAACTTTTCAATAATCGTAAAAATGCCGGTCAGATTTACAAATTTTCAGCGACGCTCGATAGCGGGACAAAAACTTCAATCAGATTTTTTTTCTTTATTTACGACTCGGTTGTTCGAAATTGATGGGTGA